TTTTTTTCCACAATTGGTTATAAAATGTGTTTCCATTGCCAAAAAGAAAAAAAAAAAGGAAAAAAAATTGTTTCCTAAAAAATCATTTCTTTCATCAAAGTTTAGTATTCGTTTGACTTTGTTTTACATGAAAATTGCCCATTAAAGTGAAATTTTTTTTTTACCATTGGTTATGACATTTTTTTCCATTGGCAAAAAAAAAAATTCCAGCCAGCCGGGAAAATATTTTCCCACCAAAAAGGCAGGAAAACATTTTCATCAAAAACGGGGAAAATGCACACGTGTGAGGAAAAGTAGGAAAATATTTTCCGTGGAAAATTTCGCCTATCAAACAGCCAAAAAAGTGGAAAGTGGAAAATATTTTCTTACTTCCCGGGAAAACACGGCCTATCAAACACGGCCTTAGAGTTTTTCCATAATAAACCAAAACAACTTAACAACGTAAAAGGATCCTTACCTGTGTATAGATGGAGATAGGTCAGGCCATGAGCAACGTCAATGGAGATTTCAAGTCTCTGATTGAAATCTAATATTTTTCCCTTCTCACCTGCCAAGAACATGTACCAAGAACATCGGCCAAAATATTGCATTTACACAGGTCTACCTAACTGGATTACTGGTATGCCTTCAAGTTAAATGACTTACCATCTAGATGCTCTCTAAGTGTACCATTTGGCACATATTCTGTTATAATCAGGTGCTCATTGCCTTTGTTGATATAACCAAGCAGCTTGACTAAACTCCGATGCTCAATTTTAGCCAGAAGTTCAATTTCGCTCCTAAATTCAGTTCGTAGGGTTTCAAAGAGTTCCTGCAAATTGTTCCTTTCAATAAGTAAACATAATTTATGGAAATATGCACACAGGTAAACAAATATCAACTGCCAAACACTTCAAATATTGATTGGAGTAGCGAAGAATCAAAGTTCACATAGGACATGCTGGATATTCTATAATTATATCAGCAACCTTCTGTTATAACTATGTATACCAATATATCAATGAATTTGAGCCAGAGCAGGTGGATCTTTTTGTTTCTATCTGAGCCTCAGTGATGTTGGTTTCTTTGTAAACTATGCAAATTTCATTTGTTCACAGCCCAAAGATTCCACATGTAAATTTCTTAATAAGCCCCTGTTTGACACCCATTTTTGACAAAAAATAAATTCTGGAATAGTGATTGATGGAAGAATGTGTGATTAAAAAGTAATGAGAATTTTTGGGTTTATATGTAGTATTATTTTATTGATAAAATGTGTGATTGAAATGAAGAAAGAGAAAAAAAATGAGAATGAGAATAAGAAAAAATGGGTGTCAAACGGGGGCTNTGGGTGTCAAACAGGGGCTAAATTCTCAAAGAAAGTAACAGGTGCCCTTGCTAGCATTAGATAATCTGTTTGCTGACCATAGCTAAGAGTGGGGGTTGTAGGGCTGAGAAAGCTACGGCAATGTTGAGTTTTGATGTTTTTCCTTGTCAGACCTGATCTCTGTAACATTGCTTGTGATACGCTTTATTGAGCTTATGCGCATGATATAGTCAGGCACTATCTACCACAATTGCATTTAATACTGATTTGAGATTCACAAAAAATCCGAACAATTTATGGCACACGAACAAGCCTCCCAGGGTAAAATATCAGCCTCTAACAAATATCAGACATCAATAGTCCCCTTCTCCCATCCACATGTTCCAACGAGAGAATATCACAAAGCCTTCAACAGGTGTCTGACATGTCTCGCATGGCTTGCTCTATTTTAATATTTTGTTTGATTTCTGATTTGCAAGGACATTGTGTCCCCTATTTTTTGCGTATAGTATATAAAACTATAGAAAAATTCTAATTACTAAACATTTGGTTTAACAATCTGTAATAATATAAACTTCATGTCAACTTCACTTTATATCCACTCTACCCACTTTTTTGATGAGTGAATATTCATATCATGTTCGCACTAATAAGTACTACACAACATATACCCCCGAATCATTTTAATGCAACAAATAGCCACTCTTCTATTTTGATAAACTTCGGCAGAAAAATTTCAAATTGCAAACTAGAAAATGATAATAATTTTGTTTCAATAAAAACATACAGAAAAGTAATCATACAAAAATCTATACTTTTATATTACTTTAATCGACATGTCCATGCCCTACTTTCATAAAAAGTTTTTTGTCAAAGCTTATATATCATGTTTTGAAGCCATTCGTACAACCATCTTCTATTTTTACATTTTTTCCAAATCTGATAGTCATGGCTGGTACGGAAAAATTAATGTACAGATGTGATTTTATGTAAAGGATAAACATTGAGCAAGAAGATGTTTCCACCAATGTTTCAATGCCTTAGCGAAAAAAATGTGATGCGAAATCATTTGTTACAATGAGGTTAATACATAAAAGCTGTGAAGTTAAGGTTGGTCTAGTGAAAGAATGATTACGATACCTTCCTTGCTCGTTTTACAGCAACCACCTGACCATCTGGTAGTTCAGCCCTGTAGACAGTTCCGAACCCACCTTCACCTACTTTCCGTGATGGGGAGAAATTATGTGTTGCTCTGGAAATTTGGTTCATACTGAGATGAACCGATCCAACCTCATTTAGTTTCGGTGACATGGAAAATCTTAGAGGACTAGGTGGAACTCGGAGTGGACTGCCTGGTATCTTTTCAGAAACGGAATCCATTTGTACAGACAGGATTGAATCCACTGCAAGAATAATTTAGTCTTACGTATATATAAACGCACAAGTAACCGAATAAAGGTATCCAAAAATATTCTAATTCTATCGCACTCCATAACTTTTGCCAAAAGGGTTGCATCAGTGGAAAAAATATCTGTATTTAGATGGAAAGGTTAACTTCAATCAAGTTTTTCACACCTGAGATTGATCTTCTTTTAAGTAGTATATGCATCTGTATAAATGACTGATTAATAGTTGTATCTAAAGATCTATACATAAAAGCATAGACTACATCCTGGAAAGTAACAGCAGGGTATCCAAAGAATGGAAATGATTTTGCTCACTTGGATTTGTCTCCTTGTCAAGAACAGCATTTTGAGTTTCCTTTTTCCTTGCACGAAAGCATGGACAAAGAACGGCACAACATATAATAAAGAAAATAGGCACCGCCATGTACAGCCCTTTAGAGTTTAATATTGTTTTTTTATCAAAATCATTCTCTGCAGATCCTTCTCGAACTGTGTTTCTCAAAAGTTTTCTTCCAGGCTCCGAAGGCACCTTGTCTGCAATACAACAGAAAGGTGCACAACTTCATGAAGAAGGTATCAACAAAATAATCTAATTTAAGCAATATTACAATGTCCATTAAATACATATTTCTTCGGGAACATCATTTCCCAAATATAAATGTTCAAGTAAAAATAATAACGATAATAACACGTGCTGGTGCATACCTATCAGAAAACCCAACCTGCAATTCTGGTTTCTGAGATTTCTGGTAAGGAAACAATGTTTTGCACGATACGTCTCTAAAGCCTTACAGAAATTATATTTTTCTACCAATTTTCCATTTAAGTAATACAATTCCTGATTAGGATCACCCAAATAGCTGATGTGGTAAGTACCGCAAGCCTTGCTATTTCTCAATGATCCAGAAGCAAGTATTCTTGGCGTTTGCAGTATCAATAATATACTTGTGAGAACTAACACCACTCTTAGTGAAGAACCGCAAAATGATTCCATCTTGCAAGACCAAAAGATAATCGAGGCATCCTCAATAATAAATCCCCAAAACCATGTAAGTTATATTATATGAGCAAAAATTCAGAACTCCAGAAATCAGTAATATGATAAATCAAGGTCTTGAAGTGCTGAATTCAAACAATAACAATTCCAACTATCACTTGAAGAGTCGAAGTCTCCAAAAAGCACTCTTCGAATTGAAACCATGTACACTAGGCACTGCCAAATTTCACAGCAGCTTCAAATGCTTTTGGATTGTACTGGTAATGATGTCCTGAGGCAAATCAGTTAAATAGCTATCATTGATTTTCATCACATTATAATTCCTTCAGATATTCGAGCAGTATCATTAATTGAATTATACAAAAGACATCGAAGTGAGGTAATTTCGAGGAACTCGCAAACTTCAACACAGAAAGTGCCAGATAGAAAACCTGAAATCAGAATGAATTCTAGGAATATAAAAAATTCCAGCAAAAAACCCAAATTATTTGGAATGAAATATCTTACCGATAATTCTTGAATTCAAAAGGCACATACCGAATTCATCAAACCCACGAAAGAAAACAAATCTATATAAAAAAAACTCAAAACTTCAGAAACCAAAACTAATAAGCAATCAATTTACCATCCCAAACACAAACCAATAATTTCTTCTCACCCACTTTACCCGACAAGAATATAATACGAACCCAGATAAGAAAACTTCTAAAACACAAACATCAAAATTTCAGATAACTTCCGCCAAAGCTCAAATGCTTAAAAATAAATAGAAAAATACTTATTCAATAGATATACCAGTCAAACGTGATTCTTGTCAGAAAATCAAAACTGAGTGAAGGCGGCTGCTAGAAAGACTGGACAAATATAAATTTGTAGGTGGACTCCCTCCCGTGTGAACGGTGGGCTCTGATGTACACTTGTGTTGGTGTCCTTTTGGTCAAAAAATTCAACGCATGCCGATCAGCCGATGTATTCATGCAGAGAAGTAGCCAAGCAACTTACACCCGTCTTTTAATAATTAATAAAAATATGAATCTTGCTAAGATTACCGCGGGGCCCCTCACCGGCCCCTCACAATTTAAAAAGGTTAGCCCTCCACCATTGCGAGGGGCCGGTGAAAGGGGTTAAACCCCGTACAAATATAATTTTCCTAAAAATATTAATTGCTCATTCATTTGAAAATAATCTTATTTACGATTTTCTTGTCACATCAGCAAGTGGGCTCGAAAACAATTTCTTAATAATTGTTGCATATAATTTATAATTGTCCGCCTCACTTCCAATTTTGAAATAAAGTATACTTTACCCTTTTCTTGTAAAAAGAATTGTTAAAAGGTCTAATGGCTTTAAATCAAGTTCATTTGATAGTACAATTTGGGATGTCAAATGAGGGTGCAATTTCAAACAAGATCTACAAAACTCGACGAATTTTTGGCCCTCTATCAAGTTGTGTACTCGAGACATAACGAGGACTATCCCTCGAAAACTGATTAAAAACGAAGTTTGATTTTAACGCAAATTTTTTTCAATTTTTAAGCGAAATCGAACAAAGACGTAATCCCGTTCATTCAATTTAAGAGTTTATTGTGTTAATACTTTTTAGGTGTCGTAGGTAATGCCCCATTTGATATCCATTTGCCTTAATGAGCTCTATTTCTATGATGTTTCACTAGCACCTTCCTTTGACCTTTCTTTGCCGTCTCAATTCTGCACCCACGCAAAATAATAAAGACACCAAAAGAACACGCATACGCGGGACGATCATAGACTTACATAAACAACCCATTTCCCTAAACCAATTCTTCGATCAAAGGAAAGGAAGCTTCTAAGATCGCGTATCCCGCCTTGTTTAAAGAGTACAACTCGGTAATCGTATCTCTCTCAAGTCTCTTCAAAAGTATCCGAAAAATCATCGAAGCACACTAAAGGCGATTTTCCACATTTCTTTGCCGTCTCAATTCTGCACCCACGCAAAATAATAAAGACACCAAAAGAACACGCATACGCGGGACGATCATAGACTTACATAAACAACCCATTTCCCTAAACCAATTCTTCGATCAAAGGAAAGGAAGCTGCTAAGATCGCGTATCCCGCCTTGTTTAAACTATTCATTCCAACACTTCGAACATTTATTTCTTTCGACACAATGGCCGGACGTCAACAAAAACAAGGCTTCATGAGCGCTTATTCGCCAATAAGCAAGCGCGAACATGAAGCCGATGATGACAATGATGTAAACGACGTCTATGAAGAGACACCTTCAGCTGGTGGATGCGCCTTCTTTAGGTCCTTTTGCTTCGGATGGAATGGCGAAAATGGCGGAGAAGAGAGTCAACTATTGCAAGGCGGAGAAGTGGAGAAGGAGATATGGTTGGTGAAGAAACTAAAGAAGTTGAAGGAGTTTTCGGAGGTTGTGGCAGGGCCGAAATGGAAGAACTTCATAAGAAAAATTGGCAAGCTATGTAAACCAAAGAAATCTAAAACACAGTTTCAGTATTCTCCAGAAAGCTATGCTCTCAACTTCAATGGCGACGACGATGACGACGAGGAAGACTGCCATTTGGTGCATAGTTTTTCAACAAGATTTGCTCCTCAAGCTTTCAATGATCAACAGAAAAAGGCTGTTTTGTGATAATACCTGCCTTATAATCTAGCCATTTGTCATCTGTTTTCCTTATTGTTGATTGATTATAATTGAACATATTACTTGTACCTTGATTTGTTGTCATATTTACTCAGCACTCCTTTGATTTTGATAAAAATAAGATTTTCGATAAAATATATGTTTGAAAAATCAGGTAAATTATATGACTTAATTTTGACTTAATTTTTTTAGTTAAACCAAACATAAACGAAACTTCATTACCTACTATAATATCATATAGTTTGTACGAAAACTTGTAACTAAGACACTAGAATTTTCTTCTTGGGACACGTTTCGAAAACTCCATAAAAGTTTCTTAATGAGAGTTTGGTGATGATTAAAATTAGATTTTTAGTAGATTATGATAGAAATTTTTGAAATGTGTGGTTGAAAAACTGTGGGACTCTTAAAAGATATGTTTAATATTGATTATTTGATTTTGACTTATATTAAAATTTGATTTTAATTCGGAACAAACATGGTCTTAATCTTTTTTTTTTCCTTTTTAATAAAATTTTGAAACTTCAAGGAAACTCTATGTAAACCAAAAAATTTTGACCAAAATATTTGAAAATTAAGACTAAGAATCACACTCAATTACAAATTAAGTCGCTGAAGATATCCACTATGTTTTGTCGATATAGATAAGTCGTCAATGCTTACATAATTTGAGTGAGAGAAATGTCTCATTTTGACCAATAAATATGATGAAGCTGGCTGGTCAGAGATGAAGGATTTTTAAGCTTTGAAGAGTGTGGAAAATAGGCCCCACACGCAGCCTATGCAGCCGCTTATAATGAAATTGGCTCTATTTTTCTGAACATATATTTTTTTAATATTTAATTTAAACCACACATTTTTTATATAAAATAATAAAATTCAAAAAAATTTTCCTAGTTTTCAATTATACATTTGAGCAATACTATGAGTACAGATTTTTTTCACAGAATACATACAGAATTTTGAAATGGATGAATTGGATTTAAACATTGGAGGAGGGAAAACACAAACCGAGGCACAGGATTTGGCAATTCAAAAATCTGTAAAAAATCTGGCATGTTTTCCTGTACTTAAAGAATTTTTCTATACATTTTCCAAAAAAACTTTCGAAACACATTTTTCTCTAAAATCCCATTTTAATGCATCTCAAACAGATTTGTAGTTTCCAAGAATATACGCACTTGTAATTCGAAAGCTTACAACTTCTTATATGTTAGAGACCAATCAAGCGAATCAAGCACGTGAAGGGGGATTACACATTCAAGTCAGACAATTGTGATTACTAAATTGTGGCTTTTTCCTTAGAATAAAAGCTTGAATATTGCAAGCATAATATCCAATTTCCTAAGTAGATTATTACCTTTTTTAACAAGAAGCTATTCAGTTATTTAACAGCTTGATGCCATGAATAAAAGTATGGAATTATCATTGTCTTCAACCTTGTGTTGATTTGGGAGTTTTATTGGTTTTCTTGAATTAACCAAACACGGGAGGTCTAAGATCCCTCGAAGTGTCCTACCAAACTACTATCATACGTCGTCAATGCAAAGATGATACTTGGTCATTACTCGTTAAACGACCTATCACTAGATCTCAATCGAAGGTGCCTGACAACTTGGTATCAGAACCAAAAAAATGTCTGACCACCGCGTAGATCAACTGGAGAAGGAGATCGGTTCATTATCTACGGGTCAACACGACTTACAACAAGCCACGAAAGCTAGCGAGGAGCTTCTTTTGCAACACATGGAGACTATGTTCAATCACCTTGCAGAACGCGGTGTAGGACAGAAGAGGATGCTAGTTCCTCTCGTGACAATCGTCGTAGTCAATCTAGAGGAAGTTCACTTGGGCCCAAGATTACCAAACTAGATTCTCCACACTATGATGGTATGGATGATCCCACGAGGTGGATTTACCGAACAGAGCAATTTTTCGATTTTCAACATACGGAAGAGGCAGAAAAAATACCTATGGCCGGCTACCATTTGGACGGAGATGCTCAATTATGGTACCAACGATTCAAAATAATCAGAGAGGGTGTAAATTGGGAGGTTTTCAAATACGAGTTGCATTTGCGTTACGGTCCTTCAAGATACCAAATTTTTAGAGGATTTCTAGCGAGTAACCTCAGTACCAATACAAACATTTATTTTGTAGATTTATCATCAACTCAAATTACATAATAGCATTTAAATAATTTTTTTAAAAAAAAAAAAAATCATGGGTTTCAGAACCTTGTTTTGATGTCAATGGTTACTCTTCAAATATCAAGAGTTTTCTCTTAGGTAGAGGATAACCTATTAATCAATAGAATAATGTTATTCATTCTCACTGGGGTTGAGCTCTAATTTATGTGGCAATTACATGTCATTAAATGATATATTTAAATGAATGAATCATGTGACTTTGTATTTAAATGAATCCATCATTTAATATCATATAATTATCATATAAACTAGGATTCAACCCCAGTGGGAATGAATAGCATTATTACTCTAATCAATATAATTGCCACAAGTCCACATGGATGAGTGCCATATTAGTCAATTCGAGAATTAATTAATGACTTGAGGAGACTCTGGAATGGAGGCCAAAAAAGAAAAAGAAAGGAGACATTTGCAAAAATAGGAGCAATCTTTTCTTCAAAGTTCAAACTATGATATTTCAATGATTTGTCGTTGAAGGTTCATAACTCATTGTTCTTCAAATTTGTATGTTTCTTAGGTGTTGATCCTTAAGTTATGTTCATTGAAATTCTAGCTCATTTTGGTGATATATTTCGTTTTTTGGTTGAACGAGTATTGTTTGACAAGTACTCGACATGCAAGGGAAAATGGCAATTCAAGATAAAAATTCCCTCACAAAGGGGATGCAGAAGAATGCCAAAGCCTAAATATCTTGAAAGGAGAACTACTCCAAATAGGCTAGTTGACCCTCTTTCGATCGGTGAAATTCAGTTAATTGATGTTGAAAACTGACCTAGTGTTAGGCTTGATGCATTTCCACAATGAAGTGAAGCTGTTATTAGGCAACAACAAAAATCGAACACGAATACTTATGTGAAAACTTCAACTTCAAAACCATAGAAAAATAACAGGCTGCACAGAACTTAAATAAACAATTAGCGATATAATTAAGGTATAATGGGAGAAAGGGTCGCTCGTATAACATTTAAATCTTGTATTCGACAAAATTTAAACATTTCGGACCAGATACAGATCATTTCCTCGATAAAGCTATTGCCTCACCAACTAGCTAATTAGACTCAAGTCCCTCCTCGAATGGATTCCTCCTTAAGGTAGAGTAGGAGAAAGCATAGGTTTTACAACCTTAACTTCTCCACAATCACTTATATATAAAGTCTCGAGGGGTTTATTCCATATTGCACGGGCATTTTTGGCTCTTCCATCTCCAATAAACTCTGCAAAATCATTGTATTGCCTGATTCTTTCTGATGGTTTGTAAGTAGGAATTGAAGCTATAGTCCTCACCACATCCAACCCTACAATTAATCAATGCAGTTCATGTAATTATACCCAGGAATTATAAAAGGTCAAATTATTTATGTATTTCTTGCCGCCCGTTTGGTGTAGCTAAAAATCATATTTTTAGTATAAAAGTTAATCATAATATGTAGTTGAAAAGCTGATAAAAGTTGTGAGTCTCGATTATAAATTTAGGGACATTTGCGAATCCAAAATTGATTCTTAATTTTTTTTAAAAAAATTATAAGATTAAAAAAAAAAATTACTGACCTTCAAGAACAGCTCCAAATACTATATTCTTATTATCAAGCTGAGGGCAAGGTCCAGGTCCAGTTGTGATCAAGAATTCAACATTATGGTAATTTGGATTGAGCTTAATATCATCATCGTCATCATTCTCTGATAAACACAATGAAACAACACCAGCCCTCGAGTGTTCCAACAAGAAAGCCTTAGAATCAACCGTTTCTGAGTTCTTAACTAATTGCAAGGGTGGCTTAACCTCTCCTTTATCCCTCCGGCCTTGTCGACCGACCACGAAGAACTCTCCCGGGAATATTTTTTGGACCAAAGTGCCCTTGTAAGTTGAGCCAGAAGAGCCAGTACACATGGCTTTGAAATTGGACACTGTTATGGGGACAAGATTGCCATAGAGGCCAAGAACAAGGCGGCCTAATAGTTGGGAATCTGTGCATTGAGAGAGGTCATCCCCCAGTGTTCGGTTTTGGAAGTACGACGAGCAGATGCCGATGTCTAAGAAGACTCTGTCTGTTATGGTGGTGTCTAGTGGTGGTGGAGTGATGGCGGATGAGACTGGGGTTGGGAGGGACACGGTGGTGGATAGGAAGAGAAGGGAGCGGCGGGTGAGGCTTAGTTTTTGAAGAGAGTTAGAAGTGCGGTGGTGGTGGGGCGGTGGAAGAGGAGAGTGAGGGAGGTGGCAAATGGGGCTGCCCATGACGATTCACGACGGTGCATTGTGGGCTAGAGAGGGAGAGATGAGGAGGGAGTGCTTACGTGGAATCTCAATTGCCATACAAGTGATCTTTTAGATGAGTTTTTGGATAAGAAATGATATTTTACAATATTTTTCTTTATAAACTTTTCGATATTTTAAAAAATAAAAACATTTTGTTCCCACCAAAACATGATTTAGATGGTAAATCTATCTTAATTGGACCAACCATTAGTAAGTAATTCATGGCAAGTGATTGTCGAGGCACACCGCCTATTAAACATCGAAGCTACAAGTTGAGATCTTTCATTCTCGATGAAAATACTTTATTTCAAGCAAATGAAGTTACGAGTTCGAGTCCAATCAATCTCGATGAAAATAATTAACTTCAAACACCAACCAGGAGTAATAAACTATATCATTTCATTGGTTAAGTCATTAATTGGTTAAAAGACTACAAAAGTCGATGTTGAAATCTACAAGATTCAGATTAAATACAATAAAAATAAAGGAAATCCTATATCTACAATATTTTTAATTATTTTTTATCCATATATTTTATAGAACTAACAAATAATAAGTAAATTATTTTTATTTATTTAAAATCGAAACCAATAATATATCTCCAAAACTTTAGCAGAACAATCACGCAGACAAGTTAACCGATCTCCAATCAATGTATTTTGCCTCAAAATATCTCCTGATACGCGTGAAGGACATGTATTTTGAACCTCTAAATTTACCCTCATGTTTTACAATCATAATCATGTGTCGATATGTGTCCTCCCTATTTTTGAACCCGTCGTTGAGCATGTTTGTGGAAGAAAGGGAACTTGACTGCCGACATAAATTTATTGAATATTCTTTTTTCTTTTTCCAAGTTTCTGGTGAAATATTTGAACAATGCTTGGACTATAGAAATTTTTTACAGGGGGTCCACAGACAATACACATGGTGAGACCCGTGCAAATTTTTATTTTAATACATGTGGGGCCCGTCCCAATGTGAGGTGCATGTAAGGCACATGTGAAACTATCCCTGTACACGGAATTATTCGAAAGATTTTATTAATTTCACAGCACACAACCAGCTGAGGAACCGACCACGTGATCTGCCTAATTGAGAGTTCTGTGCTTCCCATGTAACAGATTAGTGGAACTGAAAGATTCATTGAACCCTATTCATTTATATAATTTAATTTCGATCAAAGCTACATGGGCACTAAATCCAGTTTGGAATTGCTTTTACGTTCTTGGTCTTAAAAAAAGGGTGAACCGCATCCTTAGTTGTCCCTACCTGTCCTACCCTGGGCCTTGGTAAAGGAAGTAAATCCCAGGTTATGCCTCCAATGGTATAGGGTGGAAGGCTGCTTGTACACTTGCACCTAACCAAGGGCCAAATCCATATTTCAGGATTCGAATCTTTGACGCGGCAACCTGAAACAAAACTGGAGTTTTTCCACCTTCCCCTTTTACCACTTGGAGATGTGCCATGGGGGCGCTTTTACGTTCTTGGTCTTGCAATCACTAAAGTTGGACATCGAAGATTAGTTGAGAATGATATTGTGTTCATATTTATGAGCAACTCGTCAGAGTTGAACATATATTATACGTTATTCTAAAATATTTTATAAGTGCTGTAAAAGTAATATTTAATATCAATTTGTTGAGAATATTTGATGAGTTTTAAACGAACTAATGAAAATAAAATTTATGATAAAAATTTAAGAGAAGAAAATTGTACTCTCGAAACTCAAATTATATGATTCAAATTTTTTATGATAATAAAATACTACAAATCAGCAACTTTTTTATACTACATTTGGTACATAAGAATTAATTGTTAATACATGAATTTAAACACACATTAAAATTTTTAGATACATGAACAAAAATAAATTCATTTATAATAACTCTATATTCATATAGATCAAGATCCATTGAGTCTAGGTAAATATGTACGTTAATTAATTGAGAATTAATAATACGAAATTCATATATGACAAAAATTTTGTAGTATTTATTGCATATTTAAAAACGAAAAATAAGATATTATTAAAATAATTAAATTGTAGCAAGATTAAAATCGTTCAAAAAAATATTCTCACTTTGCAATGTTTAATAATATTATGGATAGATTAATGCATTAACACATTCATTGGGCTCATAATATTTGTCTAATCAAATTCAGTCATACACACCCTTGTGCAGGACATAAAATTGAAATAGTTCATGAAGTTAACGAATTTGTATGATATAATTTGATCAAAACAAATTTATAAATTCATTCACTCAATCGTAACAAAATAAATTTCAATTACAATTAATCATGCCATTGAGAAGGATCGAGTGAATGAAACAAAACCTCGATTTCTAATTCTCCAGCGTCTACATGAGTTTTTCATTGAACGACAATTAGAAACTAAATTCAAAAGTAAGAAAGAATTGAAGAAATTAGATAAGGAAGATAATAAAGTGTGTAATTAATTTACACGAAGTTATTCAGTTATTAAAACTAAATCAAATCTTACAAGAATTTCTCTCGTCTTCTAGGTTAGACAACATCAATTGTGATCGCGTCCTTGGAATCTCTCCGGTGCCAGTGCTCGTGGCCGGAGAAGAACCAGATGAAGAATGCCCAGCGCCAGATGCGGCCATCATCACTAGGCTACTTTCGCTCCACGATCGCCTCACCGGATACGACACCTGCGTATTTTTCGGCGGATGCGAACAATGTCCCTTAGATTTATGTAACGCGCAGTTACAATTCCGATGATACGGCCGCCGCTGGATTCCCATATCACCACCGGAAATGCAGCCTTCGAATACGCCGCGGAGTAGTCCGTCTCCGGCCGCTCCTGTGGCCATGTTGATCTTCCTTATCAGGTGAAAAATGGCATGTATATAAATGGTCGGGGGAACACAATTAGGGCTTAATTACAGCGGCACATGTGGTATGATGGTTACTTGAACAATTTTTATGAGTAAATTGTTTGAACAG